TTCAACAGTATTTCAAACATACATTTTTACAAATACATGCAAAGTGTTTGTTTTTTAATATCCAAAGTATAATTATGTAATATATTAAATTGAAATGTAAAGTATTTTAGAAAAACTTGATTTTTAAAAGTCTACCAAAATACATTTTGAAACAAAGTAATGAAAGCGTGTTTTTAAAATGTATTAGTTTACATTTCTAGTATAATTCTAGTAAGTACATCACATCCACTTGCTAACATTTAAAAAATGTATTTAAGAAAAACACCATCCTATTTAAAATATACTTATGTAGATTGTTTTTTTCACAAGTGTGGGTTTTATGAAAGAAAATCTTTGAACTCGCCACCAAACGTACACTTCAGTTAAGTATGCAACTTGCTGTCGTGCGTTTTTTTATCACTTCCCATTTGAATCGTCATAGAAAACCATGCCTTTGTGATGTTACACAACAAACACACTCAATAACATCAAACCAGAAAGAAATAAAACTTTATATCTGAGTAAAAGTAACATCTTAAAATCTTTCTGTCCTTCTCAAGGTCCAGAGATTGCAATGACATGAACTGTTTGGTTTCTGTAATCCTGGTGCGATGAGTCTTCTTTCTGGCAAGCAGAGCAAACTTTTTTAGAAGCAAATGCATAGAGGAGGGGATTGATGGAACTATTTATAAATAACACAGATGCCACAAAGTGCCTTGCATCTCTGCAAACATGTATCAGATTCTCATTTTTCAGAGATACAGCAATCACAGTCAGCACATTTATAATATGATATGGAAGCCACAAGATAAAAAACGTCACAGTGACACATGTTACCAGCCTGGTTGTTTGCGAATTGTTAAAAAAGACTGCCTGGTTAAGTTTCCAGAGAAGGCGAATGTAAATAAGTACCACTAATGACACAGAAGCAAATCCAACAAGAACCTTTGTCAAACCGATAGCCATCTGCTGTGCTTCAGATGGATAAGTGATGCATTCTGTCCATGGCATATCTGTGTTCAGCTGGTGAACCACCAAAGCAGGAGTGGACAGGATCACAGCAGCCAACCAGAGCAGAACCAGCAACACTTTATCTAGTAACTGATGGCATCTTCTCTGGAGCACAATGACAAAATATCGCTGGATGCTCAACACAGTCACAGTCAGCAGGCTGGCAGAAATGGTGCAGTATTGAAAATACACCAGTAGCTTACAGGCCGTCGGGCTAAAAGTCCAACCAAAAAAAGAAGTGTAAATCCAAAATGGAATGGTCAGCAGACAGAGCAGGTCAGACACAGTCAGATTCAGCATTAAACTCCGGGTCAGATGGGACAGATTATTCCAGTTTGGCTTGAGAATGATCACAGCAATGTTTCTAGGAACTCCCACAAGAAGGCAGAGGGAAAAAATGACCAAACGGAACAAAACACTGGTGGTCAAAGGAGGATATATTGGAGAAGAGACATTAGAGGTGACCACAGTTGAATTAAGTTGGTCCATGCTGCGTCTTGTTGATAAAATTGGGTCCTTAGCAAATGATACAACTAACTGTGCAGGTTGAGAAGTAATGCTTGGAGTCTAAGAGGATCTGACATGTGGTGGTTATGCAAATGAGATGTAGTCTGATGTATATCTGTTCTATTGTTGGCTACATCACTCTAAATGGTTTCACTGTGAAGTCAGAAATTTGTCCGTGACAGTGTTCAGCATCCTCTTACCATCACAGCCTGTGGTAGTAATTGTATTATTAGGTACAAATGACACTACGCATAAGCTAAGTTGTTTTATTTTGACACAAGGAAGAAGTGTCTTTAAAACATGTCCTAGATCAACAGCTGTGTCTCTATTTAACTCAGATGCGATCAATAAACTCATCAAAAGCTTACACAGACATGACAGCAAATATCCCAAATTGTCTAAAGGCAAAGTAAAGTGGATTTAAACTTTTGACTCTGAAAAAAGTAGTAAATACTTTACTACAAAAATGTTAGCTCAATCACAAATTACAAAAGGTTATTTTAATCTCGCAAATGAGTTTCATCCAAGAGACTACTTCATTTTATTGGATTTGACTGTAGATTAAAGATCAACTTGAGTTGTGAAAAAATTAAAGCAAAGATGATGGGAATATGTGGTTAGTGATAAAGAAACCAAGCAAATAATTGTAGTCATCTGTAAGACAAATTGTATTAGAAGCAGATTTTGCAATGAAAAATATGAAATCAATTAAAAGAACCACCCCTATTTGTTCTTTGTGAAAGCAGGACGTCTTTAGCTGTCATCATCGAGGTTTTGCTGTTGTTCCGTGTCTTGACAAATTCCTTGGTTTGGTGCATTTTGGTTGCAGATGGGGCACATTTTAGGAGAAGAAAAGGCATACAGGAGTGGATTCAGACAGCTGTGTAGAAATATAAGTGACACAACAAGTTCCCGTTGATCCATGCAAAAGTTTAACAAGTCCACATGTTTCAGACATATAGCTGCCACACGTAGCAGGTTGATCGTATGATATGGAATCCACACGACAAATAAGCTCACGATGATCCTGGTCACCAGTCGGGTTGTCTGGGGGTGGTTGAAAAGAGCTGTCTGGTTAACCTTCCTGTGCAAGCGAATATATGTACAACCCACTAAAGAAAAACAAACAAATCCAAACAGGCTCTCCAGTAGCATCAAAACCACCCACTGTGTCTCAGAGGTGAACTGAGATCGGCATTGTGCTGACTGCTGATATGTTTTCAGCTGTCGGACCACCAAAGCAGGAATGGAAAGGATGACAGCAACCAGCCAGAGAAGAAGCAGCAGCAGCACTCTTTTCCGCACCTGATTGTACCTCTGTCGGCGCACCACAGCCAGGTATCGGTGGACGCTTAATGCAGTTACAGTCAGCAGGCTGCCATGAAAGCTGCAGTACACAAGATAAGCTAGAAGCTTACAGGCCGCTAGCTGGAATATCCATCCATAGAGGATACTGTATGCCCAAATTGGAAGAGTCACCAGACACAGCAGGTCAGACACAGCCAGGTTTAGCATCAAAGTCCGGCTCAGACTGGACAGATTCTGCCAGTTAGGCTTGAGAAGAATCACTGCGATGTTTCCAGAAACTCCCAGTAGAAAGCAAAAGATGTACACCACCGCAGGAACCAGACCGCCTGCTTTCCAGGAGGGGAATGTTGGAAGTTCTGTAGGAGAAAAGTTAGTGCTAACCACAGTTGCATTGAGTTGCTCCATGGTTGTAAGCTGTGCTCTCAGAAACTGATGGTTTATAAATATGCTGTCAATGGAAAAAAAGTGGGTGGTCAATTCGGAAGTTAGAAACAAACCATAAATGGAAGAAAACACAAACAAGCTACATCATTGCTTGTTTGTGGTTTCTGCATTCACACATCTGAAGTTATTTCAATGAAGTCATTTACCGGTATTATAGTTAGTGTGTAGGTGTGTGTGTGGCCTTGTATTTGATACAACCATTTTGATCATTTTCCTAATAAATATTAAATGGAGACTAATTGCTATAGGGCCAAAAGCCACATAAGAATAAGTGTTTTTTTAGGAAAAGCCCTTAGGTTTAGGACTAAAATGTGAATTGTATTTAGGTCAGCCTTAGGGTTAGGTATGTACTGGTAATAGGTGGGGTTAGAGTAAGTGTCTTGTCTTAATGCAACAGTGAAATATGTGAGACTTATTTAAGTAATTAATTTTATATAAAACGGCATTAGTTCAATCTACGGGTAAAAATATTTTTTGATTTTTTGCTTTATTTTTTAAACCAAAAAAAAGAAAAGATTGTTTTCTTTGGGGGATTTTGTATCATGTCTTTCTGAACTTTTAGATTATCTGTGCCTTGATTAATATATATTTTTCTTTTTGGAAAATGACATTATCATTTTGTAAAACAACAACAACAACAACAACAACAACAAACAAACAAGAAGTGACTTACAACAAAAGGTATTTGGATGTGTTGTCTTTTATTGCATCTAATTCGGACTCACATGCAGGCGGGGAGAGTGGACCATACCATTCATTATAACAAAAACCAAAAGGAATGGGCAAACAGCCTTCATATACCAAACAAATGTTACTTATCCACAACCTTTTTAATGTGTCATATTCGTCTTTTATTTTTCTTTCAACAGTTAATACCACTTAATGCCACAATGGATTAAAATACAGTCACCTTTTTAAAATAAGTAACAGAGAAACATCCAGTGAACACTTGCGTGTTTTACAGTAAGCCTGTAAGACCCAGAGGCTGCACATGAGCAAATGTACCGACTGCTGCTGCTTCAGAAATGACCCAAAGAGAGCTAAAACCCCATTGCACAAACGGTGTCCTTCACTGTAACTTCTACTTGTGTTAAGA